TTGTGTCCCTGTGACTGCAATCAGCAATGTACCTTCTGGCCTCTGATTTTTGTTGTTGTGGTGGTGGGTGGTTCAAAAAATTTAAAAGAGAAAGCAAAGAATTTGTGCTTTGTTCTCCACGTACATACTATGGTATGCATGCACCCCCTATGCACACAATAAATAAACAATGTAAGAATTTTTTAAAAGCAAGAGGCAGAAAATAGATCTGTCTTAGATTTAAGAAAGGGCCACCCAGATGGTAAATTTGTAGGAAAGTCACGGAAAGAAACCTCCAGGGTTTTACAATGATGGGAAATTTCTTGCTAACACCTAAAAGGTTCATAACGTCCCATTTTTGACAAAATGCACGTGTCCTTTTATCCTGCTGTCCAAATAATAATTGGAAAGTCATTTTATTTGAGTGATATAAAAGAGCAAAGCTTTCGTTTTTAGCACTTTCTCATTCCACAGTGTGGAAGCAGGGCATGTTTACTTCTCCCCCGAGGCCTCCCTTCTGATTAGGAAACTTCCATTCTGAACAGTCAGTGTGCACATGACATACAGGCCCATCTTTCTTCTCTGCTCATTAACCCTTTCTTTTCCACCTTGTGACCCTCCAACTCAAGTATGTCACCTTGCCCATGGCAAAGAGAAACAAAGCAAAACACTATTATAGTATTCTCTTTCCCATGTCTCTTTTTCATATAAAACCTCACCTCTCCAAACCCCTTAGAGAATAAATCCTTTGTGATAATGAGTTGTTATTAGTGAGGTCTTGGGCTAGAGAAATGGCTCAGCCGTTAAAGAGAAGGCTCACAACCAAAAATATTATTGAGGTCTTAGCCATTTAACATTTAAACATCAAACTGAAAACAAAAAAAGAAAAGAAGAAATCATGGCAAATGAAAACCTTCCCTGGCTATGTCAACCAGTAGCTCACCACAAATACCATGAGAGTCTTAAAGTCTCGTGGAATTTTAGTATGAGATGTGGTAAAACAATGCCTCCTTTTATTGGATCCTGAATGATGTACAAACTGGACAAGCATTGTGATGGCTAATCTTGGTTGTCAACTTGGCACACCTGGGAAGAGGGAACCTCAGTTGAGGAATCGCCTCCATCATGTTAGCTAGTGGACACATCTGTGGGTTATTTTCTAGAATTCTGATTGACGTAGGAGGTAAGAGGCCCTAGCTATGGGTACCATCATCTCTAAGCAAGTGGGCCTCAGTTGGTAAGAGAGGTCCCAAAGGGGCTGGAGAGATGGTTCAGTCGCTAAGAGCACTGAATTCTCTTACAGAGGTCTTGTGGGTACAGTTCCTAGCAACCACCTGGCATCTCAAAACCATCTGGAACTCAAGTTCCAGTGGATCCAATGACCCTCTCTAACTTCTGTGGGCACCAAGCATGTGTGTTCACAGACATACATGCAGGGAAAACACTCATACACATAAAATTACTAAATACTAGGGAAGAAAGAAAGGGAGGAAGGGAGGGAGGGAAAAAAAGCAGAACATGAGCCTGGAAGTGAACCAGTAACCAGCATTCCTCTGTAGTCTCTGCTTCAGTTCCTGTCTCCAGGTTCCTGCTATCGGCTTCCATTTTGACAGACTGTAACCCAAATGAACCTTTTCCTCCTCCAGTTGGTTTTGGTCAATGTTTCAGCAAAGAAACAGAGAAACAAGCTAGGACAAGCACAATGATTAGCTGTTAGAACTGTGTAGAAGCAAGAGTCAGTAGGGAATGGATGAAGATCCATGCTTACAGCATAGAAAGAATTTTAGTGCTTAAGCTTGCTAACATCTGTTTTCAAGTGACTTATTTCCAGATAGGTTAACATTGGCATGCATCTTGATAGTGAGCTAGATTATGAGTCAGTGAAGCAATGATGCTTAGAAAGTTACAGACCTGAGAATGTTTACACTCATATTTTTAATTATTTATTTTTATTTCATGTGCATTGGTGTTTTGACTGTGTTTGTGTCTGTGTTAGGGTGTCCAAAACTTTGGAACTAGAGTTACAGAAAGTTGTGAGCTACCATGTGGGTGGTGGGAATTGAGAAGAGGTGCCAGTGCTCTTAACAGCTGAACCATCTCTCCAGCCCCCCCAACTAGAAGTTTTACCCCACATGTATTTCTTATGTGTAAAGAAATAATTAAATCATCAACCAAGTGTGTATAAGAAATGCTATAAGTCCTGAAATGTAGGGAATAGTAGAGTAAGACTATTGAAGACATATCCCTTTAAACACACTCCCATAGCAACTGAAAAAAAAAAATAAATGGTTGAAGAAACCATTCTATCACACATTATTATTTAATTTGCTTTTAGTAGTAGTAGTAGTATTTGTTTTTTCTGGACTGGGTTTATCTATGTATCCCTGACTGTCCTAGATCTCACTCTGCAGACTACTCTGGCTCCACACTCACAGAGATCCACCTGCTTCTGCCTCCGAAGTGCTAGGTTTAAAGCCATGCATCACCATTGTCTAGCTGTTAATTTTTTTAATTGAAGCCAAAAAGAGAAAACACACTTCAGACCTCTGAATTATTGCAGCTTTTATTAAATTTACAGAAGAAGAATGGGTTAATTATTGATTTTGTTGAATCAAGTGGTAAATCTGGCTAGGCATCAGAATGATTTCAAGTTAAAGAGTTTTGTGTTAGTAGAAGCACATAAATATTTGATATAATTTAAGACAATAGAGCTTTGCATTAGTAGAAATGTATAAATATTTGGTATAATTTAAGATAATGTTATATATTTAGAAACATTCTATATTATTAGAATATGAGTGACGTTTTTGAAAATTTAGTTTTAAAAATACATAGCAATTTGGCTTTTTATTATTATTTGGTTGAAAATTAGATAGGCCTGAGAGAAAACGCAAGAAAAATATACAATGCTCAATTACCTATTGGTAAGAAACCACTTTAGTAATTAGTGCATGAAAATAAGTTTCCAGTTTCTGATCATCATGGTGGTTGGCTTCTCCAGGGTGTCCTGTGTGGCCAGCAGGTTGGAGGCTGGGCTTTCCTGGAGCTGTTATTTGTGGATGCCTCAGCTCTCCTGTATGAAGCCCCCTTGCCTGCTAGCTCAGGGTGCCTGTCCATATGGCTCTAACAAGAAAGCTCCTTCCATGTGGGAGGATTGGCAAGTAGATGTGCTAGGGAATGGAGGATATAAAAACAGAAATTTATGAAACCAGAGGAGCCACCAATCCAGTAAGTCTAGAAAGTTAAGCATATCCAGTCACTACAATGAGGCCACGAAGGAGACGCTGATGAAGAGTTCTGTAGCCAGCAGCCTCAAAATGGGCCTGGAGATACTTTGCTTAGAAGGGTTAACAATCAGGAAGAACTGGGAATGACATGGAGCAGGATGAGGACAAGCTGGAACCTACCAATACCCCAGACTGTCAATCACTACTAACCACCGTATCATTGCAATAACATAACATGGTAGATATTTTAAAATATTGTTTCTTTTAATGGAATGATCATAGGATTTTAAACCAAAAATGCATTGGGAGTAAAAACAATTCTCCTAACATTATATTCATATACATGTATGCATTTTATATTTATATTTGTATATATATTTTATTTTAAATGTGCTGAGGCACATTCCATCTTACTTTAATAAATGACATGGCAATGAAGTCTTGTATCTTTATTTGTATAAGAATTATTTTCATTTAAAAATCATATTGTTGGGCTGGGCTCAATGGTTAAGAGCACTGACTACTCTTCAAAAGGACCCAGGTTAGATTCCCAGCACCCATATCGTAGCTCCCAACTGTCTATAAGCAATCCTGGGGTATCTGACATTCTCTTCTAGCCTCCTTGGGTTCTAGACACACATGTGATAGAGACGTACATGTAGGTAAAATACCTATAAACATAAAATAAATAAATATTTAAAAGTATATTGTTGCAGAAAAGGTGGAAAGATAGTAAGAGCTAGGGGTAGTGAAGGACTCCAAGGTATCAGTGTTTTACAGACACAGCAGGACTGATGTACATATGAACTCACAGAGACTGTGACAGCACTCACATAACCTGCACAAGTTTAAGTTGGATAAATCCCAACATGGGAAGGGGAAATTGGGCACAGTCTCACCACTAGCCAAGAACCTATTTACAGTTGATAGCTACTGAAAGAGGGAAAATCAGTTTTCTTCAGTGGAGTGATACTGCCACACTCTAGGCCAGGCTCCATGCTTAGAATTAATTGGTCAACACAAATGGACTGTGTGTGTGTGTTTGTGTGTGTGTGTTGGGGGTTGATTTTTTTAAGAGAAAGAAAGAACATAAAATTGCATAGGTAGAAAGAGGTAGGATGTACAAGAGGGGAAAGATGACCAAAATATATTGTTTTTAAAATCAAAGGGAAAGGTAATAAAATTTTTAAAAATGATTTTGTTAATGAGAAAAAAAGCTAGTTCGTTCAGTTTGTTGTAAAGGTGTTTCTGTTAAGGAAGACCATTACTTTGGGACTTAGGGGATGGCTCAATGAGTGAATTGCCTGATTCAAAAGAATAAGGACCTGATTGTGGTTTCCCAAGCACGGATGTAGAAGGCTAGCACATCTGTAGCTCTCCACAGGAGGTAAGCCAAGACAGGTGGATCCCTGGACTGTGCTGGCAGTCTAGGAGAGGGGTGAGCTCTGATTTAAGTAAGGGACTCGGTTGCCAAAAGTGAGGTGGAGAGCTACTGAGGAAGACACTTGACAAAGACTGCATACACAGGCATACATGCACAAACACAAAGGAGACTTTAACTGTAATTTTCATTCTTTACAGATGTTAATATATTGGTAGCATGGACTTAGTGCTGAATTCTAATTGCTGGGATGTTAACCGTCCTAAGGAATAGACATTCCAATATCAAGGACTACAGAGGAAATGTTTCTGTAACACCACCCACTTAATGTCTATGTTAACTATAACTTGTATTCGATTTGACATTTAAAAATAAACATGTTCACTGTTTGATGCTTTCTTTGACCACGTTAGGACCCCCAAAGAAGTCATTTTGTCTTAATTGCTGGAGAGCCATTAAGAGAACCAGTTGTTCAACATGGTAAGTCTGAATTGGTGATGGCTTTTCCTGGCTGACATTGTTTTCCTTTGGTGTGTGTGTGAGTGTGTGGGTGTGTGTGTAGTATTACCAGGAAGTCAGAGTTTCATTAATTTATGCATAGTGTTTATGTCTACATTCATTTCCTTTTGAAAAACAGACGTTTTCTCAGTACCTATGGCGTGTAATACATTAAATGAAAAATGTTTTTTGATTTTGTCATAAGGGATTTCAACTCAAAGGGAAAAAACACTTCATTGTCCACTAGGGACTTGAATATCTTTCAGCCAACATAACAATGGATTCATTACTGTTTTATGTTGCTATAACAGAATATATGAGAGTGAGTAACTTATAAAGAAAGGGAATTTATTTTGGCAGACATCGCTGGAGGGTTGGAAGTCCAACAAAGTGTGTGTATGTGTGTCTATGTTTGAGTGCATGTATTTGTCTATCTATCTGTGTCTGCCTCTCTCTCTCTCTCTCTCTCTCTCTCTCTGTGTGTGTGTGTGTGTGTGTGTGTGTGTGTGTGTGAAAGGCCTCATGTTGTTTCATCTCTTGACAGGGAGTAGAAAGGCAAATGGGTATACACTGGAGAGACAAAACTTGAGGGGTGGATATACTTCATAACAATCTGCTGCTGTGTTTGGTAATCAATCCAGTCTCTCCCCGTACCAAAAATATTACAAGAGTGAGAACTCACCCACTGGAAAGGCTATTACCTCATCTTCATGACCTAATTGTCTTTTAATGGTCCCACTTCCAAATACTGCTCAAGGACCATCAGATTTAATATGAATTATGTAGGGGAAAGTCAATATTGAAGTTATAGCCAACACTGTCCTTGTAATCAATTATTTTTAGTGAAAAATATGAGCCTCTTAGGAATAGTACTTCTTTGAAAATGTCTGTAATAGTTTAAGCCCTTTTTCATTTAATTAAAAAATGAACAGAGGGGGCTGGAAAGATGGCTCAGTGGTTACATGCTGCACTTGCAGAGGTTTCAAACTTAGTTCCCAGCTCCAGAAAATCTAGCATTCTCTTCTGGCCTCCTTGAGCACCTGCACATGCATGCATATGCACACACACACACACACACACACACACACACACACACACGCACGCACACACACACGCACGCATGTGCACACATGTATAATTAAAAATAAAGTAACTATTTTTAAAGAAAAAGAAATAGATTTAATTATTGTATGTTAGAGGCAGTACTGTAGCTGAAGGCAGAAAATGCTGACACAGGTACAGTTACTTTGGATCTTGACGTCCTTGTATCATTGGCATTTGATTAAATGAGAAACACCTAAAAGCACCTAGAACCCAAACAACTTGTTATTTATACCTCTGTCTGAAAAACATACTGCGCAATTCACTAATTATTAAATTAGACATGATTTAAGACGTCATTGTATTCCGTTACTTGGCATGAATTCCAAGGCATACACAATGATCTCATATAATCCCCAGCTAGTCATAAATTTAAATAACACTGAATAGTTAGAAAAATATTAATTTTGTTCTAGCAGTAATTTAGGGGGAATATTAAATCATATGCCCCCAGCTTGTGACATCTCATGTTAATTTTTCACACTTCAAAATTTCACTCCCAAGGTTCCTAGCCCCTTCTTCCTTTGGTCATGACTCAATAAAATTGTTCTTTGGCAAAGAAAGCTACAAACAAATGGAGTAGTGTCATCATCTAGTCATAGACTGGAATATGTAGGAAAGAGTGGGATGAAAATCCTATATGTTAGGCTCTTTCCTCTGTAGCAGTAATGAGAAACAAAAGTCCAGGTGAATAACTATGACAAAGCAAAATGGTAGGCACAGTGTACATAAATCCTCTTCCAGTGCCTGGGAGACGAGACACTGGGTATGCTTGTAAACACAAGCCCACATCAATCAGACAAAATAGATATATGTCTCTTGAACCGCCAGTTACTGAGAGACAAGACTTTTTTTTTTTTTTTTTTTTTGCTTACTTTGCTTTTCTTTTTAAGTTTGTTTTTTTTTTTTTTTTTTTTACCTTTTCATGTTCAAAGGCAGAGTATTTGAGAGTATTTGAGGACTGGTTGTGTTTTTGTGAATTATTAACTCCCTACTCCTCTTGTCCTCGAGTGTTCTTAATGATAGGCAAAGATGTCACAGCATGTTAGATTAGAAAACAACCTTAACTCTAGTGGAGTTATGTCCCTCCTACAAATGAGAAAAAAATGCAGATATTTCATTTTCTTAACATACATTTTCATACCATTTACTAAGTATTGGTCAGAGTGTTTTTCATGTTGTTAATTTATTTAAACTTCAAAACAACCGTGAAAACCTGACTGGGGTAACAAGGGAATGATGAAAAGACATACAGATTGCTGGAACTGGGTGGCCTGTACCGACCTGGTGGAGATCTACCTATTGTGCACCAACCAGAACCTCTTCAAGTTAATTATGTTCAGCACAGTGGGAGGCTTTAGCTCAGCTCTGTGGGAGGCCTCTGTCGGGGAGCAGTCTCAGGTTGCACTCAACCAGGATGAGGAAGCTGTGGTTGTTAGTTTTTGCATACTCTGCTCGGTCCTCACACAAACCAGAGGAAGGAAGACTTGCCAATTTCCTGAGCCTGACTTAAGGAAGGTTTTGCCAGTTCCCATGAGTTGGAGACACTGGTCCTTGTCAATAATACACATTCACTCAAGGCATCCCCCTTTGCCCATAAAGGCTTTGGTGACCCAAGGAAAGTTTTAGAAATCTGAGAGACATGGGATAGTGTCAAAAATAGAGTATAGAAATGTACTACAGAGAGTTGAGGTGTAAGAGTGGCGGGGCTCTGGCTGGGGAAACCATAGGAAAATCATTGTGTATCAAGTCTGTCCTTGACCCAGTATTTGATCTCTTTGACCCATAAAATTTAAAGTGTGCATTTCCTGGCCCTTTGCTGAGTAAAAAGTCTGTTGATCCTAACAAATATTTTTTAAAAGGTGCTTCTTGATGTGAAATTTATTAATAAAATTTCTTAAAGCTATGGTGCTGGGGGTCCTTGGCAGGAGGATAGTCACACTAGCATGATATATCTTTTGGGTGGTAGATGAATAAGAAATTAAGATCAAAATGAAAGATAAATCAATAGAAGCATAACAAGTTTACAGGAAGATAAAAATATGTTTCATTGCAAGCATATGATAGTGAATCGTGACAGGAAGGAGAAAGTATTTAAACTCCAAAAGTTGACCTAATCTGTGGTTGCCATAGGGTACATGGAGTTATCTTCTGGGGAATTGCAAAAGAACTGTTTATGTACAAGCTATTCAAAAGCAGTTAAACCTCCTGTTTGTGTCAGGGACCATCCCAGAAGTGCATATCCCCACCTACTGCTTAGACAGACACCAAAACTATGCTAGGATCTAGCTGATTCATAATATCAGGTTGGTTCAGTTCCTGTTGTACAAATAACAACTACAATGAATGTTGTGAATAAAGGAATTGTCATCGCTAGCAAGGGAAGTGCATTGAACAGTGAGCCCTAGTCATGTTTGTCTAAGTTTGGTCTGTATGATAGCTTATAATTATATACAGTCCCAGCCACAAAACTCAAATTATAGTCCTGTAGGATTGAACACTGCCTAGAGTTTGTTTCAAATGAGGAGCTATAGTAATACGTACCACTTCCGGTATTAGAAGAAAATGTTATCACCCGAAATTTTGTAAATGTCTCTTTCTGTCCTAGGTCCCTTTGTGATGAATACCAATGAAGAAATTTCTAAGGCCATTCTTGATTTCAGGAATGCAAAAAATGGTTTTGAGGGGGCCAAAACCTGGAAGTCAAAGATTGGAAACTAATGAAGAATTGAAATTCTGCCATTTGGATGGACCGACCATTCAGTATATTCAATTTCCAAAGCTGGCTTAGCTGGTGCTTCTAAAGAATTTCACATTAAGCAGGGTGGTGGTGGCACATGCTTTAATCCAAGCTCTTAGGAAGCAGAGACATGCAGATCTCTGAGATCAAGATCATCCTGGTCTACAGAGCTAGTTCCAGGATAGCCAGGGTTACACTAAGAAAACCTGTCTTGAAAAATGAAAAAAATTTAGAAAAAGAATTCCACATTAAAATGAAAAGATGGATTTGTAGTGAGTCACCAGAATGCATTATATACATGTATGAAATTGTCGAAGAACAGATTTAACTATTTTGAAAAGAAAATGTACAAACAATAAAAACTGGTAGTAATACATGCAAATAATTCCAATTGTTGCTTCTTTGAAAATCAATGTTCTTCATTTTGATGCAAATTATTAAGCTCTTATTAAAAACAATTGCTTATGTGCATGTGCTTTTTATATATGAGAAGATGTCCTTTTATTCTCTGCTCTTTGGGGGTTTCTTAGGGCATTTTTATTGTTTTCTGTGTCACTGGCAGCAGCTATCTGAGCATCTTAAACTGCCCTACTGCGAGTCAGCTGCCATCCCAGCAATCAGAACTGTGTTGTGGGTTTCATGTTACAGGTTATCTGCTTTTAAAAACCCAGCAGCCCTGACCATGTGAGTCAGCTTTTAAAACTGTGTTGCTATTGCTAGGGACTCAGCAGGATCCTAGCCAAGGCTTCCCAGCAATTTTCTGCCAAAGTCTGTGTCAGATTTAAGACACATGCTCCAGCATACTTCCTTCAAGATTGTGAAAAAGTTTTAATCCATAGTTGGGTTCCAGCCTGCGGTAGCTGCAAGTGTCGGTGGTCACACCACCTTACAAAGCAGCTAGAGCCTAGGGCATAGAGTAGGGATTTTTCTTTCGACTTTCTGGTCATGAAATGACTATAGAGTGATTTCTAGCTTAAAGTGGAAAACATGGCCATCTACTGATTAGTTTTTGCAGTAGGAAACTTTAATTTTTTTTTAATCTTTCTCCCATACTGAGATTGTATGTGGCAGGGGTTGTCCCTTGACTAATGCAAGTCATTTCATTGGATTTTGATTACAAGTGATCATGTGATTTTTCCATGTAAAGTTTTGGGGTTTAGAACTTTGCTTCCGGAGAATGCCTTTTGCAAACACTTTTCAGTAGCTGCTTGGTGTGAACTGCTTAGTCATCAGTGGACATTTAAAATATTCAAAATGTATAGAGAGTGCGCAATGGTGAATGTTCTCATGATGTCCTACGTGTACCTGGTGCAGGGCTTCAATAGTGAACATGGACCAGTGAAGGTAGGTGAGCTCGATTTTTCATAATGTTCCTTTTTAATCGGTTTTTGCAGAAAAAAGTCCTTTGACCTCACTATTGTTGAAGCAATATAAAAGCCCAGCCTACTCTTAGCCTGTGTGCATTAGTGATTGCTTTATTTCCTGGGCTTAATAATTTCCTTGCTATGAATGCATGAAAATGTGTATGATTGTTTTCTATGTGCTGTATGTATTTGGAATGGGAATAGAGCACAAGCATTCTTGAAACTTTTGACATGGGAATATTTGCTCCCCGTTGTGTCTGCTGATGGCACAGTGATTTTCTGATGAAGCTATGATTTGTCTTTAGGACACACACAATTTTGTGGGTCATTGTTTTTCAGGTTGGTTGTGGGCAGCAAGGTTGAGTAATTTCTTCTATAAATTAAAAAACCACAGTGTTTTTTCATGGATTTTTTTTCTGTCTTGTTCTGCAAATTACCAATCGCTACCGTCTGGGAAAAGGAGTCTTCTTCGAGTATGTTTTTGTTTTTGTGTCTCGCCTTTTGAAAATGTGTATAAAATTAAGCAGTTGGCAAATCTTTGATTCTATGAGCAAGCATAAAAGGCAGCCCAAGAAATTGAGACCAGTGCAAAGAGGATGAACTAGGATGATACTGACGGCCAGAAGAACATTGCCACTCTATGTTCAGTACTTTTGAAAGCCTTTTTAGTCTTGAAAAGGACTCAGTTGTAATCGTTTTGACTGGAGTGCTACTAAATCATGACTGGTTTAGAACGTTCTGGCTATGATCAGACAGAAATCAGATGTGGGCTTGAGTTTTGTGGCACGCCTTTTAGTAGGGGGCGTATCGCCCCCCGGAGGTGAAAATTAGTTTATAAGTTTGGGAACTAGTTTACAGGAGAAGCACCATACACATGTAACCCATAAACAGATAATAAACCTGAACACAAGTTTCATAGGACAAGACTAAAGGGCTGCTGGCACTGGGAATCCGTTTACAGTTTCCACCCTGCCACCTATACTCAAAACTGAATTTCCTTTCACCTACAGCCTGAGATGAAGAACCAACATCCAAGGCTGGTGGCAGTCAGGTACAGCTGACCACTATCCTTTCTGCCACATACATTTGGGACTTGAAAAGGTCAAAAGGTGTGCAGGCTGCTAGGCAAGAAACCTTCCTACCCCAGCACAACGCTGATTGGCATTCTACTTAAAAGTGGTCTTCAGCCCTATTCCCCAGGGAAATTTTAAATGTTTGCAGTTGACTCTTTTATAGACAAAGCTACCAGAATCATCTCAGTGTCCCGGGCACAGTGAAGTTTAACACGTTTTGAATTTACTTCTCTTTGAATTTCTTGAATGGGCAGTGGAAGAAAGTGATTGAATTTTTATGTGACAGAAAACATGCTCTAACAGATGGCAGATGTGCAGCCTGTGTTTACTAACATTCCTTTCAATGTTTCTCTTACATGCCCTACTTTCCCTTTGAACAGGAAAGCTACTAGCCAGGAGTTTACAGCCACTGAGTTCCCCCCACAACCCCCACTCCAAATTAGATGGTTTCTTATGTGAAGGAAAGTGTTAGCTGTAGTTAAATAGAAATTTGGAGATACATGTGACTGGTTAGTGAAACATAATGGCACACATCATTTTGGTTTATATATTCTCTTCTCCCTCCCCACCTCTTTTAAAAGAAAACAAAATCAAAGACGTCTTTTGTTATTGTTTGTTTTGTAACCGCTATGGGTGACCTGGAACTCACTTTGTAGACCAGGCTGGCCTCGAACTCACAGAGATCTACGTTCCTCTGAGCCCCAGTACTGTGATTAATGGCATGCACCACCATTGCCTGTCTAGAAATGTTTTCTTTACATTTGTGCTTTTTTTTAAATTTAATTTATTATTTTACATGTTGATCCCAGTTCCCCCTCCCTCCCTCCCTTTTACCCTCTCTGCCCTCTCACATGCACCCTAACCACCCTCCCCTCCCATCCCCCCACCCCAATTCCATATGTAGGGGAATGCCATCCAGGTGGGGTCATGTAGATCTGACAGGTCATGGGAAGTAGGGACTAGGGCTTCTCTCCTGTCTCTAGGTTAAGGCAGTTATCCCTCCATGGGGATATGTTTGCAAAGTCCTTTTGTGCACCAGGGATACATCCTGGCTCCACTGTCTGAGGTCCCTTAGACTGCTCAGTCCTTCTGGCTGAGACCTATATTCAAGGGATCTTAGTAAGTCCCATGCTGGCTTCCCAGCTATCAGTCTGGGGGCCTGTTAGCTCCTCATTGTTCAGGTAAGCTGTCTCTATGTGTTTCTGCAACCTGGTCTTGTCCTTTCCGTCTTCATCTGGATTCTAGTTCAACTCAGTGTTTATGTATGGGTATTTGCTCCTGTTTCCAACAGGTATTAGATGAGGGCTCCATGGATAAGTTAGTTGTTGATCTCACTATCCGGGAAGGGCATTTATGGTAGCTTTTGCACGAATGCTCAAATTGTTAGTTGGCAGCAGTCTTGTAGTTCTCTAGACCTTTCTTTTGGTTCAATTTTCTCTTCAAACCAATATTGGCTCCCTCTTTTATGTTCTCTCTCTCTCTCTCTCTCTCTCTCTCTCTCTCTCTCTCTCTCTCTCTCTGTCTGTCTTCTATTCCTAACCGGACTCAATCTTCCTAGTGTTTTCCTCTCCTCCCCCTCTCTTTCTCCTACTTCTCTTTCCATTCGCTGCCCCCCCACTTCTCCTGTGCTCTGGGGGACTTGTCCTTTCCTGCTTCTGTGAGGGACTGTATATGAATCTCTTAGAATACATACATTTGTGTTTTCTTGTTTAAATTAAAACAGCATACAATCATATTCAGGGTAGTAATGGTTTAGGACATTGGTATTTGATTAGTTTTTGCTTTAGATATAAGAATATGTCATTTGTTATACAAAATTGTCATGGTCCTCCTCAGTACTTTGTCTTGAGAACATGCTTTTCTCCACTTTCCCTTTTCTGACCACATGTCTTCCAGAATGGCTGTGATGCCAAATCTATTTCCAGGGTGTCTCCCCACTCCACCCCTTACTCTGAAGTTTACTTCTTATCTTAGAAAATTGTCCTGTTCCTCCCTCCCCTTTTTTTCAGCTTAGGCAGTGACTATGGTACATGTCTTTGAATCTGTGTAGTGTTTTTTTCTACTTTAAGCATGCAAATGGCTCCTACCCCCCTAAGACAATTGTGCTTACTGCCATTTGAATGAAAGATATCTTAATTTTACTAGTCTTTCAGCTTATGCTTGGAAAACTAGCTGTTTGGAATCAACCATACTTGGAACATGTGAGGAAAACCTTTTCAGAAATTTTATCATTTTCTTTGCAAAACAAAGATCTGGAGAGATTGCTCAGTGGTTAGGAGGAGCACTTCATGCTCTTACAAAAGACCAGAATCAGTTCCCAGTAGCTCACAGCCAGCCAAAACACTAATTCCAGGGAATCCGATGCTCTCTGACCTCATGAACACCAGGCATACATGTGGTGAACATACATACAATCTGGAAAAAAACCTAGACACATAAATAAACCTTAAAAATTAAATTAAAAAGACTGTGTTTGACTCATTAATACAATCAGCTTGCTGACTAGGTGTGGGATTTATTTTCGGGGTTCTCAAGCTTTTTATATACTTGAGATAGTCTCCCAAGGTATGCACTTCACAATAGTCTATGTTACAGATATAATCACAATATTTTATCCTCTAGACACTTAGTAATAATTACCAACAGCCTTATGCTCTTTCCACTCACCATGGCTTTCTAGCCAGCATGATTTATGGCTGATCTAACAAATAATTGTTGTCATCAGAGATGTCTGGAGTCATTTTAAGATGCTAGATGAAGTTAGTATTTTTCTGGTGCTATGAAGACCTGTCAGTATAGTAATTGAGGAACTATTCTAGGTCATGGTAGCTTTCAGAACTCTTGAAAAAAAATCACTTCTTCAGCTTTATACTATCATTTTATGCACTATGCTTGTTTTATCTATAGAAGAAGGGTATCACTAGATAATGGAGTCATTTGGTGCTCATGGCTCACAAGACTTCATCACCTTCACGCCATTTGTCTTCTCTTGAAATTGTCTAGGAAGTAACTTTCATGGAAAAGGTTGATGTGCATCTTCCATCTTTAATTGCAGATAGAAAACCCATTCCTCCTACCTGCCCCGTTCTCACTCACAAAGTCATACACAGGAGTGAATACTTGTTCAATTTTTCTGTGTCATCATGAACTCAGTTGTGGCTTTTATACCACTTTCACATCACTAGTATATGGTGTGCCCAAGATACAATAGAACCCTCTCTTCTTACATCTGTGTATAATACTTCCTTGTATGAATCACTTTTAATTGAAAAATCCTGACTTAACACCCATGAATAAAATGTTGCTGCAAACATGTCACAAAGATAACTTGTGAAATAAAAGCAAGTTATTTGTATATACAAAATATCCCATAAAAACTCTTTGTAAAAAGACCTGGAGCTCTCAGACAGAAGTATTCCCACAGTTGGACAAAGGCAGTAGAGAAATAAGGATATAAAAGACAGTAAAAATTTTTCCGAGCAATATTTATGCCCAACTCTTTTTTACAGAGATTTATTTCATTTTAAAATTTGTGTGGGTATGTGCATATGAGTGTGAGTAACTGCAGAGGCCAGAGGAGGGCCCTATATCCCCTATATCTAGAGTCACCAACAGTTGTTAGCCACCTAACTTGGGTAATGGGAACCAAACTGTTCTTTGCAGCATCATCAAATACTCTTAATCACTGAGCATCTTTCCATGTAAACTCATTTTATCATGTGAGATGAGCAGAAGATGGGAGTTTAGCATAATTAGGAATGAATTGGCATCAAGGGAGACTGATAAAGTGAGCATTTCTGCTCAGCATGTTTTTATGGTGGCAAATCCACTTTTGTCTCTCTTGCTTCTTGGTCTTATAGTTTAACTAAGATACTAGAGCACTGTAGATCAAAGGCATCCTGAGACA